AGATGATTGTCGAAATCAATAACATCCCGCATAGCGCCCCGTTTCAGCAGCAGCGACACTCCTTCCAGTGTTTGCGCAGTGTTCACCAGCGAGTATTTGGCCTTTGACCAGCGGTTCGAGTCAGTCGCGTAGCTGTACACCTGCAGTGCAGCACGCTTGTGCTCCAGGGAAACAAGCTTGTTGTCCACAATGGCAAAGCAGGCGTTTTTGAAATTCTCCTGTATTTTGTCCGCGATTTTGGCAGCTGGCGCCTTTTCGATTTGGTTGTCGTAAAAATTTTCCGGCGCAGCATAGTAGCCGGCAATTACCAGTCCTGCGCTCTCAGCGTAAGCATCAATCTGCAATTGCCACATCTTCAGATCTGATCAGTTTCTTATTCTTTGCAAACTCACCTGCATTAGAGCTATTTCTGCCATAGGAGTAACGCCCAGGCACTGATGGAAAAGAGGAATTGCATCTGTTATTTGGACTATAGAACCTTTTGGCTTCTTCTCGGCCAGTAGCAGACCGTTTACAGCTTGGTGTGGGTATTTCGCCGCATGAAATATGATTTTTGTATATGCAGTTTCAGAAAACTCATATTCACACATTTTATCTTATTATTTTTGTAAATTTTCCTAGCCGAGAGTTCACTTGTAAGTTTTTACTACTAATTAACTTTGTGTAAGACCGTAAACCACAAATGTGAAAATACTTCAGAAATATCTATAAAAATACTAAAATACCTCTAGTGACAGCTCTAAACCGATAACATGATAATAACAGAGCAGCTGCTGTTATTTCTTTGCCATGGCTTACGTGTTGTTTACCTTAGAAGCGGAAATAACAGAACACCTGATTCGATTAAAATAAAACAATTCAACAAGGAATTTGACTTATTCATTATTGTTATTCCGTTTATATGAATGAATAAGAATACATAAAAAATATGTATAACATTTTATTACTTAACTGCTCGTCTGCGTCCCGATCTCTAATGGTTTTCTGTTTCAGAGTGTTTACGTTTATAATATTGTAACTAAAATATAAGTAATTATATGTATATGCAGCGTACGCCCATCTGAAGCCATTCTGGAAAAATACTACTGGTTGTCACTTAAAATAGCCTTGATATCATCAGCATCCAGAGTTTCGTATTTTAGCAGCGCTTCGGCAAGCGCTTTGTGTTCCTTCGCATGCTTCTTGAGAATGGCCTTCGCACGCTCATAGCTATCACTCAGAATGCGCTTGATCTCAGCATCTACGGCTTCAACGGTATTCGGTCCTAGAGAGTCGCCCGTGCCCAGGCCTTTTGGCGACTCAATTGTCCGGAGGCCGACCTTTTCCGACATACCCCAATCTTTAACCATATGCGTGGCGATCGATGTTGCTTGCTTCAAATCACTGCTTGCGCCTGATGTAATTTTTTCTGCACCAAAAATTATCTCCTCGGCGGCACGACCGCCCATCATCGTGTCCATCATTGCCAGCAGTTGCGCCTTTGTCACGTGATAGCGTTCCTTCTCCGGTATGTAGGCGGTGTGTCCCAACGAGGGACCACGCGGCATAATTGTCACTTTATGCAGAGGATGTGACTCCTTTGTATAGAAGGCCACTATCGCATGCCCTCCCTCATGATAAGCGGTTATTGTGTTTGCCTCTTCATCGGGCAGGCGCGCTTTACGTTCTGGACCCATTAGTACTTTGTCTCTTGCAGTTTCCAAATGTTTCATATTTACAGTCTCGGCTCCGTCAATGGCAGCTCTGGAATGCATTAAATTAGTTATTAACCAATAACAATATGGGATGAGTTACCTTAGAGCTGCCTGATTGATCATGTTCTCCAAATCAGCGCCCGTGAATCCTGAGGTGCCACGTGCTAGCATATCTAAGTCCACGTCATCATGCAGAATCTTTTCCAAATACAGTGAAAGAATTTCCTTGCGACCCGTGAAGTCTGGCGTAGAGACTACAACTTCAACGTCAAAACGACCTGGACGAAGCAATGCTTGATCCAAATCGTCTCGACGATTCGTCGCACCGAGCACTATGACGCCGGCATTTTGATGGAAGCCATCCATTTCAGAGAGCAGTTGATTTATAGTTTGATTAGCGTATGGATGGAGAACAGAATTTGTGCGCTTTGCGCCAACCGAATCAATTTCATCGATGAAGATGACGCAGGGAGCGCGAGCCTTAGCAGCCTCTGTTAATGATATGAACAAAGAAAATGATGCACAATAAAGATTAGTTAGAGAACAATCACAACTACTTACTGAATAGATCTCGAACACGTCTGGCGCCCTGGCCAACCAGGACTTCATCAAACTCCGGACCGGCGGCGTGGAAGAAGGGAACATTTGCCTCGCCTGCAACGGCGCGGGCAAGCAAAGTCTTTCCAGTGCCAGGCGGGCCAACGAGGAGCACACCCTTCGGCAGCTTACCACCTAAATTTGAGAACTTGTCGGGATTCTTGAGAAATTCTACCACCTCCTTAAGCTCTTGTTTTGCCTCATCACAGCCTTTGACATCATCGAAAGTGACGTGAATTTCTTCTGGATCAACCTCAACCTGATTGCCAAGTTGTATGCTGCTAAAAGACATGTTTTTAGAATTATTCTGCACAGAGTGAAAGTGGAGAGAAAGAATGTGAAGCTTGACTCACCGGAATACAGATCCATTTGATGAGGTAAAGAAACTCATGAAGATTCCAATGAACACGACGATAACAATGAGTGTCTGGAAAATCTGCGTGACAATTACTGAGCATTATTCACAACACTAAGGAGCGAATGGTGGACAGCGCATTACAAGACCAGAAGTAAAGCACACTTTGGCAGAATGTGAATATATAGCTATAGCTTATACTCAGAGATCTGCTTGAGATGTTTCCCCTTTCGGAGATGCTTTCTTCGGCAGCATAACGAAGATCATGACAAAAGGGGTATAGGAATTCGGGCATTGGAACTTACCTTCAGGTACTTCATTGTTTTTCCCGACTTTTGCGAATCTTCCGCGTTCGATGCCGCCAAATATCCTTCAGCAAAAGCAATTTTTATATTCTCCTGAAAACAGAGTTATTCACAGTGTAGTTCTCGAATCAGAATAATTGAACGTAGTGCATACCGCATTATGTGCATTTCCTTGCAGCTCCGATTTGGAGAGCAATTTCTTAAGCTTCTCGGCCTGAATGTTCATTTCACCATCTGTTTTCTGCGGCGTTCCTTGCAGCGCTGACTTCAGTCTGGTTGTCATTGTGGGATTACGTTTCTGTTCAGCCTCAATGGAACGGTCTGTCTTGAATCCACGGAACTGTCTCCTGCAGAAACGAAAAGTCTTGAAATCTGTCCGCTCCAGCAATCGGCAATCGACAATTCTACTTACAACTGATGATGGTTCAGTAACATTGGGCTTAACAGGCCTCTCAACAAGGTTGATTGCATGCCGCTGCAATTAAGAGATTTTAGTTAGTGGATGAGTGAGATTTTAGACAGATCATACGCACATAAGCTCAGCATTTTTGGTTGAGTCCAGTGAGACTTTAAACTTGTAATTGGCGTGTTGCTTGCCCGAAACAGCTGTTTGTATCGCTGGCTCCTCCAGTGTGACATGCACATTCCGCATCGAGGGCAACATGCTGGTGACTCTGATCAGAGCATTGTTGACAAGCTCCTTGTCCAGTATACCATTCAGTCGCGCAGCCTTCTCCACAATGCTTTGTAAACTAGCGCCCGATTTGATGAGCAGGTTCTTGAAATCCAACACGAGGTCGTAACTTCTACCTTGGGCAGGTGTACTTTTGTTATTGTTGATGCTGGAGCTGGAGGACCTTGATTTGTCGGCGAAGAAACGTGGAACACCGCCATTTGTTTGCAGTTTGGTACGTTTCACTGTGTAATAGTGCGGTTTTCGACTAAAATTACCCAGATAAAGGTAGGGCTGACATTGAATAAAAACCAAAAAAGTCAGTGGTTGTGGGAATGAAAGTAATGGAGAATCGGGATCGTAGTTGGCCTACACTTACCACTGAGTGTGTGTTGGCAGAAAACATTCTCAGAATATACAAAAATTTTATTAATTACAATAACAGGCTTAGATCGGGCGAGCGGACGACAAAAATTTTTGACAGGCGAAAATGTCATAATCTTGTTGCGTCCGTGTTGCATCCCTGTGTGTTATGTGGCAGCCCTCGAATTTGGTAGCCCGCCTACACAATTATTTAAAATACTGCAATTTTGGATTTGATTTTATAGCCAAACTGTTTTGATTATAAACTCTTGGAGTGTTTGCGATGCAAGTTGTTTGAGCCAAAATGTTGCTAATTAAAATCAATTGTAATTTCAATGTGTTTTAGCCAAAAGTTATTACGCCATATTATTATGGTCACACTGTGAAGTGATATTTTGAGAATTTCTGCAAGTGAAATGACATAAAAATAACTTTGGAAATGAGGAATTACTACTGTTCAAGCTTTAGAGTATTTACTTCACAGCACGCTTAAAGTTTTTATTTATGAAATGTGCATATTAAAGTATTTAATATCGATAGCTAAATGCTATCGAAATGGGCCTAAAATATTTAAAAAACAGAGCAATCTTTTGTATAATTGATTCAAATTAAATGTAGACGAACATTTAGTTCGTAAAAACACAATTGACATATGATTTCTAAAATTAAACAAAAACTAAGTCATCTATAGAAAGTACAATGTCATTGTTATGCCACGACACTAGCGCTAACATCGCAATAAGTTATGAATTTGCGTTGAATAACTTAGAACTGTCCATAACAATAGTGCATACTTCTACGATGACCGAAATAAATAAAGTAAATAGTGCTGCAAATTATGCTATAACACAAACGTAACTCTTAGGCATGTGCTGTGTTCTGTTGAAACGGTAATAAAAATACTCGATAGATGGCGCCAGTTGCTTGGCTTAATTGGTTAATCGAATTTTTGAATTGTCATCGATATATATAACAGTTGGTTAACAGTCCAGAGCTGCAACGGCAGATCTCCGGTATACTCAACTTCGGCAGCGCAACGATCAGTCGAGTTTGAACTTCAACAGGTGTTAAAACGAATTCGTTACGAGAGAAGCGGTATTACTACTGCACACGAGATATCGGTAAAATCAGAAGTAACTGCTTCGCTTAACTATAAAAAAAAAAATCAAAATAAAACATATATTAATTAGCCATATACTCAACTTGTTGAGAACGTGACAAATAATTTAAATTCTAAAAAATCAGCTGAAAAGTTTCCATACACATACATGCATACGTAGTAATCTGTAGTGCTAGACAAAACCTTCAGATAAAGTTTGTGTTTGTTTTCGTTTTTGGATAACGTTTGTGTGTTTATTTTAGAGATCATATCAAAGTTTGGATTACTTCGCTTCATTCGAGAGCAACGTATTTTACGCAGCCCACAAACGCAAGGTAAGTGAAAATTGTAGGAAATATATACATATCTGAGTATTCATCTGCCAGACCACGATGCAAAATTGTTGGTTGCAAGTGCAGTTCAAGCCAGAGCCAGAGCTAGAGCTAGTAGACATTGAATTTGAATGAAAATGAGGGATGAGATTTCGTCATTTGCGGGCAAGCATATGGACCGCAAGTGCGACAGCAACAACATGCGAACTGAGATCAACAACAAGAGTTTACTCGCTCTATCGCACGTGTTTTCCCAAGTACGACGAGTCGCTCATGCACGAGTACGTGAGCGCGAGTATGCAAGTGAGTGTGAGCAAGCGGCTACGTGTGTGTGTGTGTGTGTGTATGAGTTTGTAGTTGTTTGTCGTCTACCTACCTGTGGCTTCATTACCTGCCCGCTGCTGCCTTTACTGTGCCATATCTACAATACACTAAAACACACACACACACACAGCAATATGTATGTGTGTGTAGTCGAACTAGTGAGCGTATTAATGACAAATAAATTTTCAACTTAAGTCGGCATTATCTAAGCATTCGCCGTTTTTTACCACTGAGCCAGCACTGGCCCAATTCTCGCCGCCAATTTGGCAGCTTTATCCACAAGAGGCCAACTGTAACCTCTCATAGTAAGCACTTACTTTCTTACACTCACCAATACAGACAAAGTCAGAAAAAGTGCAGCAGCCGCACGTCGTCTCCAGGTGAGATATGCGATTTGGCTTGCTCTGGCTCAGGCCCCGGCTATCCGTGGTAGACAAACATTTACAGTCAGCCATGGCTGAATCGCGCATTATTTTTAAAATGTGCCAAAGGCTTAGGGAAAAGAATAGATGCCCTTTCCGCAATACGAATTCGATATACTCTACTAAGAGTGTTTCTTAACACATTTCTTTTTAATTTAAAATGATTATTGAAACTAGTGAGGTACTTAATTAATATTTTACAAAGCTTGTATGCAAAAGTATAAAATAAAAATAAAATCAATTAAATTTAAAAGCTTTAATTTTACATACATTAAGTATTTTAATAAAATATGATAATTCATAATAAAAAAGCTATAGTAATTTAATTTATTTAAAACTAACAAACCTTAATGTTTATAGTCCGAAATAGGAAATTAATATTTTATATACTTGTTCACCCTTTTTCGCATGTCCGCTCAAAGGTAGCTTACACCTGTGTGTTTGTGTGTGTGTGTGTGCGTATGTTTGTTTGCGTGTGTAAATATATTGCATTACTCTTTTCCTCAAGAGTGCGATCAGTTGCGCAGTGTGATAGAGAGAGCAATAGAGTGAGAGAGAGAGAGAGAGAGAGAGCGAGAGGGAAGCGTGTAGAGAGGGGGGCAAGAAAAACCGGTAATGCATTCGAAAAGAAGTCACCTTCATATAAAACTCAACTCGTTGCCAAGTCGAGAGACAGAAGCATTGTAAACTCGACTAAAATATCGTAAGACCCGAGTGACTAGAGACCCGAGACCCGAGACCCGCGACTCAATGCCCTGAAGATTGGCTTTAGGCATTTCGCTGACATTCGCCAGGGACAGCAACGGCAACGGCAACGTCGACAGCAGCTGCAGCTGTCCCATTATCAGACCCGGAATGCTATCTATCTTACAGATGCGCAGTTATCGAGCCAACTCTGAAAGCTTTCTTTGCTGATGTGAGGGAATGCATTGAGCACCGAAAGGAATGTGGATTTGATCGAAAAAAGAAACAAACTCTATCGATCACAATATCAAATTCTGTCTACATCAATAATTCCAAACAAGTTTTTTCCCTTTAACTACAAATAAATACACATGTATTTATATGTATTTATGTATGTGTAATTATAACTATATGAGTTTATGCGTCTAGAATTTTTTATCAATTTCATGGGTGAGTGAAATATAACAAAACTTTTTTGTACATGCTCGTAAAGTATTGGGCTATATATCTATCTCTATATTGTATATATATGTATGTATGTATTGTGAGCAGATATGAATTTATGTGACTATACAAATATACATAAATACGTCATTTGGACACTTAAATGTGGAGGTGCGACATGATTACGTTAGCTATAGTCAACAACGTTCACATAGGTGTGTTGCAATTCCACGAATACTTTGAGTATTTTTTATGCAAATTCGAACACATTCGAGCCAATTACCTGGGCATGAGAGGAGGGGGAAGGGGGGGGGGGGCAACGAGAGTGCAGAAAGTCCCCGCCAAGTGCGATATCTCTTTGAAATGCTCAGTATGCATTACTTTTCGAGTAGTGTCAAAAACATAGACCTTTCCATCATGTGTGCGGCGATAGATCGCCTGGGCTAGTGGCGACATTATCTTATCGCAACATGTTGCCATAAGCCGGCCCACAGATAAAAGATAACTAACTGGCTGGCAACGTCAACTCCGTCTCCATCTCCGAGTTTCGTGTGTCTGCCGAACTAATGAGGTCAGAGCACTGGGCTCTACGAGCGAGCTGCAGTGCTCTGGCCGCGCCCCCCGCCCCCTGCTCAATTGCAGTGGTAATTGAGTAGATGCCTAGGCTGTACTTGTGCCAACAGCTCTCATAAAGTAGTTAACAGCAAACAGTGTGTGGGGAGTAGGAGGAGCTAGGGGAGCAGGGGCGAGGGGCCAGGCTAGTTGAACTCCGCTTACGGAGGAGGGCAACAAATTGTGTGAGCTTTATGAACAGCTTAACGAATTCGTCAAAGTGCCAGACAAACATTTGGCTAAAAATTAAATGTTGTTCAACGAGCTTGCCACTAACAACACCAATTACAACAACAACAACAACAACAACAACGGCAACTGGCAGCTGTCGCTGCTTGTGTGTAGGCAAACTCGGTTAGATGTTTTCGCATTCATAAAATGGGTGAAAAAAAAAACAGGCAGACAGGCAAACTTAAGTGCTGGCACATGCGGCGTATGCGTAATGACAACTACATATACCCTGTAGAAATAGCAACAGGAATAGCAGCAGCAAGCAACTCAAATGTCTCTGGGATGCCTATAAAAATACGTCTTAATAGCATTTTTATTTTAACAAACATATCACGAATTTTCGCCAAAGCAAATGACGACAAAAAAAAAACAACAAAAAATCTATTCGACATGCAAACGAACTGGATTTTAATTAAATTATATATAGAACTTTTCGGGTGTTGTATATTATATAAGAAAAATATATATGAACATTATAAATTTAGGTTAAAATTGACTGAAGTTTGACTTATGTAAGTGCTACGCGGCTGGCTTAAAGAATAATCGTAGATAAGTAATAAAATATATACATACGTAATAGAAACGATCGAAGAGCTGTCGAATTATGTTTATATAGTAAACAAAATATGGAAGCTTTTTAAGCAGACTTCGTATGAGCTCAATGGGCTGCAATGAGCACTCGAACAAACTCCAGCTTGAGTTTCAATGTACAACACAATTATTCCATAAACAAATACAAACATTATTAGACAACAAAAAACTCCTAGCATATCTCATAGCTGAGCTGCCAAATGTATATTATTAACTGCTTTAGCTATTGTTGTTCTTGCCTAGTTAGCGAATCGGCGCATGACAATCATGCAAAAAAAAAAAATCCGATTCTTTAAATAACAATTTTCGAGTGATTTTGGAGTATTTTTGCAAATGATGTCATGTTTCCATATCAGATGCCGAAATTTAAAACCAATTGCAAGCGTCTATGATCGATTGAAGAGCGTATGAAACGTGTAGGAGCTAAATGCATTATACAGATAGTTTATTGCTCTAGCCTGGCCTAAGCGTGCTCGTTTGCCTAATTGAGCGTGAAATGTACATGGAGAACGCATTTTGCTATGACATTTACCTTAACCCTGACTCGAATCGATCAAGCCTGACCGACTGCAGAGCGCGATCGGCAATCGGCGATCAGAGATCGTTAATCAGCTGCGGTACTATCTTGCGGCTCTCTGTCAAACCAGATGCCATTCTCCACCACGCCGGCCACGGATCAGATCAAGGCAAGTGACAAAACCAAACGCTGCATATCGCATGCCATGCAATGCCATGCATGCCCCATGACGCAGTCTTAACATACTTTGGAGCTGGCTATTGGTGCCACCATAATTGAATTTCAATTGCAACGGATCTTAACTTTCACTGTCTAACTGTGTGCGTAGGGTGAATAGAGAAATAGAGAGAGAGAGAGAGAGAGAGGGAATGAAAGGGAGAGAGACATAGACCATATGCATAGAAGGTATGAAAAAGTGCTTGTATTCATATACTCGATTGGAATTGGAAAACATATTGGGGCAGTATATCATCTAATTAGGTCTCATAGCTATGATCGATCATCAGTTAAGCCTCGATTGCTCAACTGCCTCAACTTTTCCTAATGCTATCAACAATGTCCACTATATCTTTGGCCTGCGCTTATATAAATGCATTTCTAAACTCTCTACCATCTAATATATGATATAGCTTTAAAAAGTTGCTTTTATTTGGTCTAAAATCTCTTGGATTTGATCAAAAACAGTTCGAATTGAAATGTCAATTTATGTAAATGCTTTCACAGCACAGATCATGACAAATGCATAAGCTAATATATTTTATTTAGTGTCTGCCTATGTGTGTGTGTGTCTATGTGTATTAGTCGCAATCATAAATTACGTATAAGGCCAATAACAACAACCAGAAACAGAGACGGCAGCTCGACTTGGCACGGCATATCTGGCTGTCTGGCTCTCTGTCTGTCTGTCCGGCTGCGTTTGTGGTCTGTGTTTGCTGGCTGATGGCTAATGAAATGCAACGATTTTGATTTGCCCAACGCAGATCCAGACGCGGCCCAAAAAGTGAGTCAGACTGAAGTGAGCAGAGCTGCAGCAGAGGGGGAGGGAGGGAAGGCAGAGAGCACTGTCTGTGGAGCCGGCATGCAGCAGCAGCTACGTGGTTGGTACGAGGAATGTGGACGTGGCCAGCGTTTTGTGTTGGATTAAGTTGTTGTTGTTGTTGTTGTTTCAGTCTGACTGCAAATGCGGTTGGAGCAGTGGCTCCGACTGTGGCTCAGTCTGTTGGTTCTGCCTTGGTTTGTTTTGGGCTGCGGCGCACGCCTGCGCTTGCAGCTACAAAAAAAACCACAGCAACAACAACAACAACTCACATTTCAGATTCCATTTGCTGCACTTAATTAATTCAGAGATCGACGAATTTGTGTTTCATGTTCGGTCGGCATTCAACTTCGCAGCATGGCAAAGCAATGGCAATCTGGCCAGGTAAGGGCAGGGCCAGCGAATTTGAATTTTAAGACCTCGCTGCGATAATAATGTCAGCAATTTGACAAGCGCTAAGCCAATGCTAGCCAATTGGCAGAACATTTTCATATCTGCGCCCGATGGCGTCAATCGTCGTCGTCGTCGTCGTCGTCGTCGTAAGTATTGAGTGCATTGAGTGCGAGTATTAGCACGTTGACAGTTTCATGAGCTCAATGGCGTTAAAGCCCCCCATGCCATCTCATAGAGAGACGACGACTACGTGCCGACAGCCCAGTCAAGTGCGATGGCTGCTTCGTCTCTGGCTCCCCTCCACATAAACAAAGGCAGTCACAATTTCATATGGAGAGCCTGGGCTATGAGTCGAGTCGAGCCGAGTCGCGTCGAGTCGAGTCGAGTGCAAAGTTGAGTTTGTGTGAACTGAAAACTCACACTCAGGTGTGGAAAAGGCAACAGTGAAAACTATTTTGATGCAGGGCAAGCGGAGAAACTTCAAAGCGATCAAAGTGTGGGCGGCGGAATTGGTGGGCGGAAGGGTTGGAGGGGCCTCTCATTCTACGTCAGCCCGAGATTCTTTCAAGTACACGCTAATGAACCGCTGATCTGAGCCGTAAGGAACTGAGAGCCGGTTTTTGGCAGTTACTTAATTTATGCTCTGCTTCCTGCCAATAATACTATATATATGCGTATGGCTGCGAATGATATTAAGTAAAACAAAGCGCGATCATATGGGGCGCTTAATATGGCTATATGCAGCCGCAACTCGTTAACTGTCTGGCCAGCAATTACGGCCCACAAGGCAAGGAAACAAACATAAATTGTGCATTAAGCTGACGAATATTGAAATCAACTTTCTGATAACAAGCAAATGCCACCAAAAAAAGAAAATATGTATATATATCGGGGAAAAAATGCACCTGAGCAGCTCCTGCACAGCTCCGATAACAGAAGCGAGCAACCAACTCCCTTTATCAGCATAAAAAAAAAGAAATAAATAAAAAAAAAATGAAGAGTTTTGAAGCACAAAAATGCTGGGCAATTGAAATTTTAAGCTCGATTAATCACATGTCTAGCGGGCCATGGACTTCCACAGCGCGGGATCATTCAACGATAAGCAAAGCCTCTGTGTTGACAGCTGCCCAGAGTCTTTGTCTCATAAACAGATACTCGTATACTATATACATACGTACATATGTTTATTTACCTTACATTGCTATTGTATATATGTATATAGCCCTCTCTCTCTCTCTCTCTCTCTCTCTCTCTCTCTCTGCACTCAAAGTTGTTTTGTCAGCAAAATGCAATTTTCTTCCTCGTCGATTGCAGTTCTTACTTAAAG